ATGAATATGAGCAAACAAAAGCAGCCTGCAAAGATGGCATGGAAAAAGCTTTTCTATTTCTAGAAATGGCGCTGGTCAATTACCAACAGACAATGGAACAGATGGAAACGGAAGAAGAACAACAAGGAAGAGACGAAGACGCCATCTTCATTGAATCCCAAAACTTATCTAAGGAAGAAGGAAGGAAGAGAGCAAGGAAAATGAAGGACTTAAGATCTAAAAAAACATTTGAGAAAGAGAAAAATATGATGCAAAGTAAATATAATGATAACAAACAAGAGAAAAAGGGAACACAACAGAGAAGGGATCCCAGCAAGGCAGAGGTTAGAAGAAGAAGGGGGGGTAGGAAGATTTGGTGGGGGAAGAAAGAAAGGGGAAAGGCGGAGAAAAGCCTCAAAGCTTTAAAACTGGATGGGAGAAGAGGGATTTTTTTTAGAGACAAAGGATGAAATATAATTTTCTGTAAGAAAGATTCTGCTAAGGTACAGAAGATGGTATTGTAACATTTATATTTGAAATAGTAAATTAGAATGGTTTAAGATTTAATAAGAAATTAAAATGTTGAAGTTTTTAATAATGATTGATTTTTAAAATGTAATAAAATATCGAAGGAAAGGAGGATACAATGTATTTAAACATTTTTGGTGGATAGAATGTACCAAGCAGAACCAAATTGGGTATTTGTTATGCTGAATGTTAATTTTACTAACTTAGGGGGAGGATAGAAAGGCATCATACTCTGATTAGTGATTTCAGGAGAAATTTTTTTTTATTATAAGAAGAGATAGAGGGATAAATGAATGGGCAAAAGATACAAATTTAATGATTTAATTAAGATGGATTAAATAAGACAGAAATGTGAAGAGTGATATGTGCTATTATTTTAGCCCATGCAAAGAGAGGTAACTGGGGCCAAGGTACTTTACTAAAAGATTTTTTTTTATGTTTGTTTGTGTTTGTTTGTGTTTTATGAGAATATTGGGGAAATTATTGTAGAAAGACAGGGAAAGATTTAATATGTAATGATTTGTTTGTTGTTGAAACTTTTAATAAAACTTGTTTAAAAAAAAAAAAGAAATTTGTCTCCAGTGCATAAGCTGTCTGTACATACAAACAACGAAGTAATATAATCATAAGACACCAGTAGAAGAAGCTAGTAGAAAACATGAGGATAATAGAATACACCATACTACATGGTTAAATAGATATAAGACAGTACTGTAGTAATTAGGTGTTCAGCAGGTGATGGCACGAGGGAAAAAACTTCCTGGATCTAATTGCTTTGACATGCAATGCCCTATAACGGCGTCCTGAGGAGAGGAGTTCAAAAGTGTATGTCCAGGATGTGAGGAGTCAGTAGATATTTTCTCAGCCCTCCTGATGCATGCAATATACAGGCCCTCAATGGAAGGCAGGCTGGTTGCAATTGTTCTTTCTGTAGTCCTAATAATCCATTGAAGTCTGTATCTGTCCTGTTCGGTTGCTGTACTAAACCAGATAATTATAAAAGTACACATGATAGACTCATTAATTCCTCTATAGAACAGTATCAGCAGCTCCTGGGACAGTCTGAATTTTCTGAGTTGATGCAGGAAGAACATTCTTTGTTGTGCCTTTTTAAATGATGGTTCTAATGTTAATTCAAATCCTGGGAGATTATAATTATAATGGTTCTATATTTTAGATTGGTAATTTTATTTTTCTATAAAGCATGTCTACACAACATGTAGCCTGCCAAGTAATGTTGAGTGGCCTATCAGCAGTTTTAAAAGTGATAAATTCACCAGAGCCCCAAAAGTTGCAATGCCAAGCATCTCAAAGCCTCAGTGCCACCAGCAACTCCAGTACTCACTCAGCTAGCCACCAAACATCTGCTGTAGTGTTAAAGGTAAAGCATTGAATTTGGATCAGAAATACTGAGGTTCAAATCCCCCACTGAACCATAGAGTTTAACAAGTCAGTCTGTTTCAACAAAACTGAAACAGTTATTATTCAGAGGATAAAATGGAACAATCATGCGTTCTGGTGAGCTTTCAAACAGAATGCAGGCCACAAATGCAAAGACAAAAATAATAAACTTGACACCATAGGTTCTCTGTGGTTCCTCCAATTTACCAAGGAATGGTTTTATGTTTCAATTATTATTGATTACTGCATAGAATTAGCTTTGAGAATTTATCCTTTAAGTAGAATTAAATATTTGAAACCTGGTTTTTCTTTATAAACTCCTTTAGGTCTCTTCATGTTTTCTTTGGAAGAGGAATGGGTAGTATGTTGAGTAGATTGCAAGACAAAATTTTCTTTGTATTCTGGTCTTAATCGATCCTTAATAAGTCCTGTCTCCAAGTTCCAAGTAACAAAATGGTCTCTGAAAATACAGTAGTAACCAAGCAAAACAAGCAAAAATGTACTATTTTTATTAGTAATTCTATTAGCATACAATAAACATTTAATTTGTAATAAAGCATAGGAGACAAATTTAAACTAAAATGTATGTTGAAAAGTAAAAGAATGCCTGGGTTTACAAATTTCTGCTAAATTTGCCTGCTAAAATTAATCCAAATGTTATAAGAATTGCCACTTCATATTGATTTCTTAAATTTTAGTCTCAAAGCAGACTTGACTTTTCTGATTTTGCGATGTTATACTGACTCTACTGATTTTACAATTCATAAAAAGCATAATTTTCTAAAAAGATTACCAGTAATTGGTTAAGGTTTGAAGCTTAAAACTATTCTAAATTGGTCATAGTGATAGATGGTGTAAATAATGCAATTTCTTTCCACGTTAAGCAATTTCTCTCCAGATCATAAGCACAATTGCAATTTCACTTAGTTACTGCTTTGCGTAATTGACCAAGTTGCTGATCCCAATTGGGGTCACTAAATGAGGACTACCTGCAATAGAAATATGTGCTTTTTCAATAACTGCAAAATGTTACCTGTTCTCAGAAAGACCAAGTAGAAGGCCTCCTTCTAGCATCTTGTATTCATTATTTGGACAAGGAATTATGTAAAGCCCACTCTGTTTCTTTATGTACTTCTTTTTCAGGAGATCATAAACTATCAGTGTCTGGAATTGCATTAAAAATTTATTTCTGCTTGGTGTAGAGAAATATCTGCAAAGTTGTAATACATGCATATCTAGGAACCCTAAATGTTCCTGTTTTTCCTCATACTAAGTGGTCTTAGGCCCCTCCCTGACAATCCCTACTGCCACACACATATTAACAATTAGACAATCCCTAATTCCACACATATATCCACCATTTTTAGTGTGCTTCTATCCACTATTTTTCCCTATAAAATAGCTTTCTGACACTCAATTATTCAGGAGTAGATGAACTGATGGTTCACCCATATTTTCTAGATTTAACTGACAAATTTCATTTTAAATCCATTAATTCCTTAAAGGATATTTAAACCCTTTAATACTTTTATTTCTCAACAGTTTGGATAACGTTCTCCTCATTCACTACAAAATCACTTTTTATCAGACTCAGCTTTTTCTCAATAAATTCATCGTTCAATGAAATCAGCTGAAAAGCAAAGAATCAGTATTTATATAGAAAAAAAAATTATGTTCGGTACCTGGAAAATCGATCTTGGGGGATCTGCATAGGAAGATATTCCCTTGCCTGTAAGTATATAAAGTTTCATGTCTCTCGCCAGTACAATGTCTGTGTTCTCTACCAGCCCTCTTTCCACTCTCACAGCATTATGTTTACACTTGGATTTTACAATATTCCATACTGTTATGACTCCCGGACTTGTGTTTCGGCACACAGCATACCTTTAGAAAGATAAATATAAATAATCTTGTTATTTATATATTGGAAAAATGTCAAAACATTGTTATTTCTCTGTTGTTGAAAAAATGGCAAGAAAAAAATTGTTGTAATTTGCCATATATTTGCTTGTGAAACACTATTCCTTACCATTATATTTTATTGCAGTAAAAACAAACATGCAGTTTTATGTGAAAATAGGATAGTTGGTTGTTTTGAACTATGAAATTAGGATTAATAATTGCAGTACAGTATGTGCAACTGAGTGATCAGCTGTATGCCCACCTGCTTCCTTTATCATGAGCTGCGCACTGCATTTATGTCCTAATTTTCCTCTAAGAGCTCAAGGACTTACATGGGGATTTCCCCTTATCTTGGCCCCACAACCAAAGATCTGTGTGATAGTGGATGGCAAGGAAGGCAATTATGAAATCAAAACAACACTCATTTGATGAAAAGCAAATCAAGCAAAAATACCCTCCAACATCCAATGTATCTTTGTTACTGAAATCAAGATGATGCAAATTAAAGATATATTATTTGAGAAAAACTGGTGTTCAGGTAAACTGAATGTTAAAATGAAAAGATATTTCCATATGTAAGTTCTTGCTTCAATACAGTAAACTCTAAGGTGTAGGTTCTACAAATGCTTCCAATGTTCCAATTCTGTGTGTATCTTTCACAGGTTCCCATTAAGAGCCTTCAGCGTTTATTCCAGGTTTGTTCAGCACAGCATAAAATAAAATTACCATAATTAAATATAAAACTACTTAGTCCTGCAGTAATAAGGGTTATGTTGAAGTAAGTCAGATGGCCTATAAATGTTATAAATAAATATATAAAACAAATTTAAATAAAATAAATAAAATAAAGCAATGAATATAAATTCATAAATATTGAATAAATGAGGCAATGAGTATAAATGCATAAATATTGTAGAGGTCCAATTTCTAACTTTTTCTCGGTCCTACATAAATTTTTGTAGCCTTCGTTTTTTCCCAATCTTGCTTTTCTTACAAAATACAAGCAAAATAGAAATGTTATGTTGGAAACAGGTTGTTTCAATCTTCTGTGCTACCTTTAGAATTGGTGAATTCAACTCTCAAAGTGTTATACATAATTTATTTCTAACATAAACTTCCCTCCTATTCTGCCTATTTTGGTTACCTGGGATAGTTTTTCATTGTCACAATATCCTGAATACCATTTGTTTTCTTTGTGTTGCTTGCAGTGACAGTCAAAGACTGGTCATTGATCTTGGAAGCCAAGTTCCAGGATCGAAGGTAATTATCTCCATCACAGAATGCTAAACAATATCGAAGGTCAGAGCATATACCTACAGATACACGAATTATGATAATTAGAAAAGATCATTTTGGCGATTGTTCAATAAATCTCAACATTCATTAATGCTTGTGTGATCATTTAAAAATATCAGTTAAAGCTGGAGTTGGTCTATTTCATTTGTGAAAATACCATTAAAAAGGCATTTAGAATAACTTTCTCCCAAACTATCTCCCAACTTGAGGGTATCTGGCAGAGTCCAGAGGGGCAATGCTTTGGCTAATAGAAGTGTTCCTGCTATATATTTTTCAGTGCCAGGCTACCAAATATTAATCAAATTTCTTTCTTATAACCTTTATGTGATTTTTCCTTCGTCTTTAGACATTCAGGACATGTTATTGTCCTGAGGATTTGCACATATCATGGTGTGTAAAAGTTTGTAAGTCCTTTTAATTTTCAATATTTTTATATAAATATGATCTAAAATGTGATCTGTTCTCCGCATAAGTCCTAAACTAAATAAACTTATTCATTTATTTATTGAGGAAAATGATCCAAAACTCTGTCTGTCTGTCTGTCTGTGTGTGTATAAAATTCATAGTGTGGTAATGATTGGGCAAAATTTAGATTGTTGGCTATTCTTGTATGTGCAATGTAGGCACACAGACACTCTTAAGAATTCTGCTGAAGTTTTTAAAAATACAAGGCTATGAAAAGAATGGATATATTTGGAAAAAAATATTAGTACGATAGTAAGAAAAAAAGTGAAATGTATTAAACAATACAAATAAAGGAAATGCCAAATTTCATCTATCGTTTGGGCAATATATTATGGAACTAACTAGATTATTTGTAATCTATTACTAGATATTTCAGTAACATTGGTAACTGCATGGTGGACCATAGTGGATAAAACTGAAAAAGTCGAGATAATGAAGACAAGGAAAATCTTCTCCATTGATTCTAGTTCAATACATCTAATTTAAATTATAAATGACTTTGTTTATTTGTATAAAGCATTGCTGCCCATGTTCCCACTATTCTTTTGCTACATTTTAATATTTTCACTTTTTAAACTCTCCTAACAATCTTTAAAATACTATCCATTAAAAATGGCATCTGATGAGAGGGACTGTAGGCCTTGTCTTAACATTCTACAAACCTTAGGATAAAGATGTCCTGATAACCATTTTAAAGAACATTTCCTCATGAATGCCACTGCATTATCCCTAGGCCATTGGTGAAGCAATCTAGATTTGCTTATAATTATTTTAGTAGGGGTTTTGATATTACGATGGCAGTCAGAATCTTTGGTCAGACCAGTTCCTTTTGGCTTCTTGAGGCTGCTATGGATATGCCCTCTACCTTTCAAGTATTGGGCACTCCCTCCTTAAACATGTAGGGATAATGCTGTTTTCAAAGACCACTAGCTCTTTTATTAAATATGTGCTTAGTATTTTTTGAAAAATGATCAAGTTTTGTCAGCTGTAAGCATTACAGGTGTTTTATTCCTTATGTTCATAATGGCTTTAGGCTGGCCATGTTTGTTTTTTTTTACTGATTTGTAGATTTTTGGCAGCTCTCCACCCATGCTCATTAATTTCTGAAAACAAATATGGGATTAAATGGAAAGGAGCAGGCATCCCTATATTTTGATATTCCTGTTTACTTACTGAATGTGGAAAGCCTCTTACTTTTGGGTTATTATTACACACTTGTTCTATAAAAATGTTTCAAATTCATAGGAAAAAATACTTACCATCAACAAGGACTGAAGGAAATTTAGCCAAGTGTTTGTGGTCTTCAGACTCCAAGTTCCATGATACAATCTCAGTAGTACCAGTATTTGGAATAGGACTGAATGCCACAAGATGAGATCCCAAATGATTTACAGCAAAAGTGTGAATATTATCATTACAGCATCCCTTCAGACTATGAGCATAAGCAAAAGTATGGACATTGTAGAGCTCTATAAGAACAATTTCTTGCTTTCGCATGAAAGGGCACCTATAACAAGATAATTACTCTTAGATGAGATGTACTAATAGATTTTCCTGAGTATGTCTAAAAAGAGTTATAGAATAAAATAGCTAGATGTAAACAAATAAAAATATGAGTACCTAGCTTTATTGTGAAAAATATATAAATGTGTTTAAAACTACTGTAGTTCTATTACATTAAATCTGAATCTGGTATGGTTTTGGTATGATGTAATGGCTGAATCTACAAATTGTGATTGGGCTCTGTTTGTTTAGTCCTGGTTTATTAAATAAGCCATAATTGACTATATTCACAAAATATATGTCAAAACAAAACAAATCATATTATTTCTTAGTCCAATGTGTGAATCTATTCCAAGTTTGGATTTAGGCAAATAGCTATTGGTTTCAGATGCACTGTATGTCAAATAGATGTCCCCTTAATTTGTTTTTATCTTGTTCCTAGCCCATGAGTAAGGTAGCCTTATATTGTCTTAAGACTTAACTGAACCAATGATAAAGAGTACTTTTATTATTCTGACAGTGTTCAATGCTAGCCACAATGTGTATAAATTTCATTAAGCTTTGTCACCTAGTGGGGTTCAGTGCCTTGAAACAGGTAACAGAGTCTGGGTCAAGATTATAATGGGGGGACAGCAGATGTGAAGCTGATAAAAGTTTTCTGCTGACTTGAGGGATGTGGGAAAGTGACAAAGTGACAAAAAGAGAGCCAGCCAGGAGAGAGTAAAAGAATAATTTGGTGGTACTACCTGAAGATCACAAGAAAATAATCTTTAGTGATAGCCACCCCCTCAGCTGCAGCCATTGGTTCCTGGCTTTTCAGTTTAGCAACTACTTCTCCCTTTTTGCCGCTGAAAACCATTGCTTCACTTGCACTTCTGCAAAAAAGGAGGCAAAAATACAGATGGAAACCATCGTTATTACAAAATCAATTATTTAAAAAAGACTTTTTATTCACAGATTCACGTGTGACTCACTGAGAATGCAAGTTTGAGTACTATATTTTTAGCTTTTATTTTCAGAGTCATCAATAAGAAAAGATACAGAACAAGATCTAAACTAATGAGCCAGGGCACTTTGGCTCTTTTCAGCAGTTCCTTCATCCCATATGCCTCCCAACTTGAAGTCTCACAAGTTATAAAGGAAGTCACTGATATGCCCCCCAAAAGTATTTGCCACTTCATATATCTCTTGTTCATAGCTATATTTCTTTGATTGTCTGGAAAGGTTGTTTGACTTGAATTATTCCCAATTTTAGATTCTAGTACATACTGTATCATTTCTGATAAGGCTATATAATTCTGTCTCCCTAAATGACAATCCTTGATTATTTAACTGAAATTCCTGACAGAGGAAAGTATTGTATATATTGTAACCCAGGATTCAGCATTTAGTCCTGATATTTACTTGTTTATTTGTATCCGACCTTTATTATTGCAGGAAGAAATAGAGAAAATCTTGTAATATAAAATAGTGCCTGAACAATTCTCAAGCTAAATTTGCCATAACTAAAGGGCTTTTCTTCATGGAATCTACTACATTCTGCAAACCAAGAATTCCTGAACCAATAGAATTTTAATAATTTATTGGCATGAAATTAAGTTACACTAACCTATACGCACATAGGACATAATCTTTTACTGAGTTCTTTGATACTAGTAGAGAATGAGTCTTGTGCATAGGAGCTTCTTCAGAAAAAAGGTAGACTTCATGGAGCAGTTGGCATGAATGAACAAGATCAAAAACCTGAAATATTAGGGGATGAAAGTAGGTAAATAGTCAACTAGCTGCCAGCCATTTCATATCACTTTAAAGCCCCATATTTTCCCTCTTCTTTTTAAAACCTGCATTGTAGAATATAACAGGAAAAATAAAAATGAAACATTTAGTTATGCAAGAAACCCTTATTATCTTGGGTTTCATTATCTGCAGTTGGAAAATACAGACCAGCTCTTCTAACCAGGGTAAAGGTATCATATATTTATAGAGGGTTTTTTTAAATGCATTTTATACATCTGCAGAGTTTTACACATATGTAAGATATATTTTGCATTGTATTTCTTGTACTGTGAGAACCAGTTTGATGTGGTGGTATTAGGCATTAGGTTAGAATCTGGGAGTCCTGAGTTCTACCTTAGACACAAAGCCAGCTGAGTGGCTTTCTCTCAGCCAATGGAAAACCACTTTTGAAAAACCTTTTAAAGAAAACTGCACAGACTTGTCCAGACAGTCTCCAAGAACCAGAGCCAATTGAACAGGAAAAAAAAAAACATTTACAGTTGTCTGAACCCAGTAGCCTGATTGGAATGGAACCCTTGCAAATAAGCAGTCCCACCAGTATAAGAACCCTTTTAATTAAGCATGATTTTTAAACATATTGTTTCTAGAGTCTATAGCAAACCATCTATCTAAATCTGATTATCTACATCCACTAATAATGAATAATTAATTCCCATTGAAATAGTTGATTTTGTTTTCTTTATATAACATATGCAGATAAAGCTGGTTTCTGTCTACTGGGTTATTTCTCCCTTTCAAACTATCAAAGTATCTTGACATGGGAGGAGCTTTTTCCATATTTAATGCATTTGTACAACTCTCTTAACTACATTATAAATTTTGGCTCCTCTCTCTGAGAAGCAATGCTGGCAAAATCACCTGTTTGTGGCTTTTTTACAGTTATGCATATCAGCTGAGCAAAGGGCAAAAAAATATTTCCAGCTAAGTTTAACCAGAGCATATAGACTTGAGTTTCTAAACAACTAACTCACCTGAATTTTGTGGTTCCCACTAAAAAAAGCCAGCAGAAGTTGTCCATTCATTGAAGATGTTAGTATTGGTGTATCCAAAAACTCACCAGAACTGTATACCACTTGTTGCAAGGAAAGATCCCAAATTTTAATGGTGGCCTTGTCAGATACAGCCACCAGCCTGTTATCCAAACATACCGTGATAGCACTAATATTTTTCCCAATTTCATGCAGAGTGAAGACCGCTTTGCCAAGAGTCAAATCCCACATTTTCAAAATACCATCCCTGGAAACTGTTGCAGCTACGAGCTGTTTCTGAGTTTCTCCTAGTGCTGTAATTCTGTCCAAATGACCTACAAATTCATGGCAGCACAATTTTAGAATTTTTCCACAGGTACAAGATTAATTTCAATAAAATCAGCCTATTGACCTTTCTTTGCAGAGAAATTAATAGCTTTTTTAGCCACATTGTTACAGCTGGTGTGATGAATACTTTGAGAATTATGAATATCATATATTTAATCAATAATTTCTATTCTATCTTCAGATATCTTAACATTTTGACATGAGAAGAGCTTTTTCATATTTAATGTGTTTGCACAACTCTCAATCAAATTACACCTTTTGGCTTCTCCCTCTGAGCAGTGATGCTAATAAAATCAAAGGTAGAGAAATTTGGCTTGGTTGATCTACACAATTTCCTTTCCAGGATATTTTTTGAAGTCCTGGAAGAGAACAAAGATCTGAACACAAAAATATTGCAACTATCAGCAGCAAACAAAATTGAACACAAACATCTCTCAATTCTTATTTCTGTCTTGATGGCCAGATGGAGAGCATCAAAGATTGCAGCCAATTGATTTATATTTAGAACTGCTCTGCTCAAACCCCAAGAGCAATAAAACTGATTAAAATCATTTCGTGGAAAGAAGCAATTAGTAAATCTACAGTAAACCTTTAAACAGCTCTGAGAATAAGGTCTGCCATTGTCTTATAAAAATACAATATTGGTGCCTCCTTTATAACTAGAGGAAATATTTTTTTCACAATTAAAACCCTATTACTGATTATACTGCATTGTTTAACGCAATGCAAGAATTGATTCATATCCTTAAAAGAATAGTGAGAGTTGTTTCCTTGTGCCTGGTTGTCATACATAAAAATTTAATCAGTGGGCTGTTACTACACAATGGGCACCTGGTATTATCAGAGAGTGGAGCATTGTGAAACATGTTATTATCAAGCACTGTAAAAGCATGAAATCAATAACACATGTCAGAGGTAGATTGCATAGCATCAATGCTTAAGAAATGATACACTCCAAAAATGAATTAAAGATTTATCTTTCTCTTGGGTACATACTTTGTGATAACAATGATTACATTTGTAAATAAAAGAGGGTTAATTATTTTGCTGCTCGTCCAACTATTTGCTTCCAGCACCACCAAGTTAAAGTTTAAAAGAAAAGAAATTCGTGAGTATAATAACCAACTATCTCATTAAATTGGCAGACTTCAGCACACCTATATAGTAGCGAAATTGATTTCTCTGAACCAAATTGCAAGTCATATACATTTACACAGCACTGGCCAAATCTTATGAAAATCAGCCTATGTAAAAAATTTCATGAATTAGGGATTAAATAATTTCTAAAAAGATAATATTGTCACCTTTCAAAAAATCACAGAGAAGTCCACCAGGAGGTATAAGGCAAGAAGTTGAAGGTATAAGAACAGGAATAGAAGATTTCTGACACTGAGATAAAAGAACTGGCAGGTAAAGGTATTTTTTTGGATCACCTGAATCAACATGGAAAAATATATATTAATAATACTGTAATATACAGCTTACACAGGAAATATTACATGGTACATTACTGTTTCCAATTCTTAAAAATTAACTTTTTCATATATAGATCCTCTGTACTTTTTGTATCAGAGAGAGATATAACTTTCAAAGTGTAATTATTAATCATATACCTTCTATAATTAAAAACTCCATATTGAATCTTGTAGCAATTAGAGGTAAGAGTTTCCCCAATTAATACAAGATTTGGCTTAGACATTATTAGAAACATTTCTCTAAAAATAACTAATGATTAATTTCATAATAAATTCAAATGAACTATTCCCCCCCCCCCTCAAGGAGTAGCTATCAATAGAGCTCACAATGCTAAAGAGAAATGGGCCTTCCATAGAAGAGATCCACTTTGGGACTCCAATAAACATTTCAGTCATTCAAATCAATACATCAGGAATTCTTTTAAACTAAAGCTAAAGAACTGAGTTGCTTTGAATCCTTGCTATCCTTTAGAAATGAGTAAACAGTTCTTTTCAAATGGCTCCACTCTGCCTATCCTGTTGTTAGTTATGTATTTAAACTATAAATGTTTTCTAATGTAAACCTAGGTTTAGGTCTTGCTTATTTCGTGAATCACCCCATTTCCCTTGCAAACTCTTGTTTGGATGTTTGCCTGCAGCTTGTTTTATGGGATTAATTCTCCAGGTATGTATGAATAGTATAGTTTAGTTCTGCCTTTGCTGTTTATATCCCAGTGGTGACATCTGCAGATTAAAAACCAAAACACCATAAAGAAATGTAGAATCGGAATTTTTCTATAAAAATCAGAGGCTCATAATTTGCTCTACCTGGTGCTACTGGTATATCAGCTGCAACAATCTGATGGAGACGGCCTATGAGCTGTGAAGCCATCTGGCATGGATCTTTTATTAAAACCCTCTTGGACAATTTGAGAGTCTCACTTAATAAGACTAAGTCAGGTATAGTCCTGTTGGGGGAGCCAGAGGAAAAAAAGGTCAGCATGCAGAGTTTTGATTTCTTTGCCCTCATAGCAAATGTCTTATGTGTTTTTAATACAGCTTTCTAAGGCTGAGCTATTGTATTTCTTATTCATTGCATGACAAAATGAGTAGAATATAAACACAAAATCGTTGAGTGACAAATAATTAGAGTGTTGAAATACTCTTATTAAGGGTAGGAAACATGATATCTAGTGAGTTGTTGAACTATTTTTTCCCTTCATTATTAGCCAGCAGGCACACCTATCAAGATTTAGGGGAGTTCAAAAACAGCCAATTAGAGTTCTGTGAGAAGATGGCATACAGATCTGATAAAGTAAATAATGTCTACAAGTTCTCCAGCCAGGGATTATTTGAATGTTATTTTGATGCATTGTGAATCTCTAAAACCTATTTCAACACAGACTATTCCAGACTTTCCATAGTTGATACCCTCTGGAACCCCCTAGTTCTAATGGGATTACAAATCCTAGCCAGCTCAGGGTAATGTAGTAAGTGGGGAACAATGAGTTGCTTCATTATATTAGGTTAATGCAGAATTCTATTTTACTATTGTGAACTGACCTGTCAGCATTAATAGCTGCTTCTAGATCTTCTTCAATACTGACAATTGATGAGGCCCAGGATTTGTACAAAAGAAACTCATAATTAAAGAGACATTCTTTAATCAGAACAGCAATATTTTTTGACTTGATGAGATGATATGGAGCCCCAAAGATTTTACGGACATTGAAGTTGTAGCTGGTCTTGGATCCTTTTTTCAGAGTCCAGGCAAGAGGCTGAAATATTGATGGTTCATTGCACTTCTTGAACTCCTGTGAGCTTCTACCTAGGTAATAGTCAGCAAAGATAGCATGTAGTGATATTTGGGAATCTTGTGATTTCAGGTATCTTTGTATGCACACATGCTTTAAAGAAGTATGAGCCCAAGTAAAAACATATGTGTTATCAGTTCTTTGCTCTCTCAAATCATCTCCAAAATCATCTAAAAATTTCAGCCATAACACTAGTGGAAATGCTGAC